TCACTGAGTGTTAGAACTCCCAAAGGGAGCCTTTGGGATGGGTGTCAGTAAAAGCACTTGGCACAAGAGAAGCCTCCCTTTGAGGCCAGGTGGCCACAGCCCTTGGAGGGCTCTGCTGTGTGGCAGAACTGCCGGGAGCTGCAGGGGGAGCTTCTCAGCTGCTGTTTTTCCTTACGTGCCAAGACCTCACAAAAACCAGAGCAGCTCCCTGCACTGGGACAGCAGCAAACACGTATCTGAGTCTTGTGACATGCCACATCAGGATCAAAGGGCTTCCCAAACTCTTCTCACTGCTGTTATCTGCAGTGGACCTTGGAATCTTTTTTTTCTTTCCCCTGATGCAATTAAGATGAAGCAATATTTCTCTTTTAAATCTTTCCTCTGGACTAGTTCCTTCTGCTGGGACCACAAGGAGCTGGTCAATAATTAATAGTATCATCAAAACACCTAAATGGCTCCTGTGCAGGTGCCCAGGAAGGTGTGAATTTACACTGTTAATAATGTACACCGATAGATTTTTTCCATAGAGTTTCTATTTTCCATCCTGCTATTTGTTCTGGTGCAAGATTTTTATTACAATTGATGTGGAAAGCTGACTAAGATAATCTTCCCAAGAGGTGCTTGCCTTTTGAAGCAGGAGGGGACAGAGAAGGACCCACCAGTCCATCCTCAGTGGTTTGGTTACACTGCTCTCCTGCGCTCAGCTGTTGTCAGGAAGGAGTGGCTGTTCTGTGTTGGGTTCAGAAACAGCAGGTAAAGCAGATACTCAACACAGAGGGCTGTAGTGGGACCTCATTTGGTCTCCTTGAAGCATTTCTGCTTCCATTCTCTTCTTTCCATGTATGAGAGAACCACACAGGCAGGAACTGTCCTTGGTTTACACACGAGTGGAAAATCGTCCTGAACTTCACAGCTGTGAGATGCAGTTGTGTGTCACACCCCCAGAGAAGTGGGCAGCACTCTCCAATTAAATGAGGAAAGTTCCTCACCTCCTGTGCATGGGGCAACTGGAGCTGTCTTTAATGTTTGTGTGGTTTGTGTAGGCTAAGCGAGCTCAGAGAGAGATGAGATCATGAGTTCTGTCAGGTAACTCTAATAAGAGTCCATATATAAACATTTTTCTCCTTGTTGCAACACAGAACTGAGCCAGCTGGAATACCAGTGAGTGTTCAGGAGCTTCTAATCTCATGTTAGAAATAAATCATATCTGCCCCAGAATTTCTGTCTGGAATTAGCTACTTACACAAGGCATAACCTTGCTGATAACTAATCCTGTTATCATGACTCAACTAAAGTTTACTCTGGCTTTCTTTCGGTTCTAGTACATCAATAATGAGGGCTGTCCTGAGCCAGCTCATTGCAGTGGGGTTTGGGTGCTGAGCTGTGTTTGTAAAACAAACTCGTCCTTGTGCAGAAGCCAGAATCCCACAGAAACCCCGTCTGCCTTACTCAGGTGGTTCTAATCTGAAATAATTACTTGGATAAACAGTTTCTGCCTGACACCTTTACCAGATTTCCCATGGGATCTTACATAACCCCTGTCCTTTATGAGAATATTGCAGTATCTAAGGAAAAGGTCATGGGATTCATCCACCCTATTTCTAAACTGCTCTAATGGAAAGTCCTCATTTATTGAAACAATAAACCCCACACAATACTTAGCAGTGTCGTTCAGTTGTGATTCAACTAAAATGCCATATATGAATGTGGGCTTTCAGAACATTCCAGAGAAGTAACTTCCTTCTGTCTGAAGCTCCAGTTTTCTCCAGGACTTGCTCCTCTCCCAGGCAGTTTCAGGCATCCCCAGCACCCAGTGCTTTAGGCAGAGGTCAGTCTGTCCCCTGGCTCCCAGGGTGGGTGCTCACTGGCACCGGTTCCCAAGCTGTCCTGGCATCCTGGGCCCTCCTGCCCCTCCTCTCACCCGAGGGCCATCGGGATGGCCTCAGGATGGAGCTCTTGCTCAGCTCGGTGGAATTTGCACCGTAAAGGGGGAATCCAACCTCTCCATTTTAGTGCTGTGTGGAAGAGATTAGGCAGGCAGGGCACAGGCTTTTCCAGGGCAGCAGATCATTGGCTTTCCTTTGGAAACGAGAGGAGCAGCCCTCAAAGTTTGTGCTGCTCAGAGATCTGGGTCTGTCAGAAAGTGCTGCTGTGAGCAGAAGGAAGGGAGGATAAATACTCACTGATCAGAAATGAGTCTTTTGCTGTTAGATTCCCAGAAGAGCACTAGGTCTGTCTGCAAAGTGAAACTGGCTCTCGAGTCTTGTGGTGCTCTGAGGGACACGAGCACTGTGTGATTTGGGAAATTGTTTGTGTAGCTCTGGGAGGAGCTGTGTGCCTGGCCTTGCTGATGGGCCCAAGTACAAACCCTGGGCAGAACTGGGAACTCCTGGGGGTGTTGCAGATCAGGCAGTGGGAGCCTCCCCTTGTGGTGTCCCACTGTGGCAGGAAGAGGCTTGTAAACATTTTACATTATTATAAATAGCCTCACTAATGAGGTAAGCTTGTGTACTTAGTCTAAAAGTATCATTTGTGTCCTGGGAGAAAGGTTAGAACAAACAGAGTGACTGCTGCAGGCAGAGCTGGGAGAAGCAGCCTGGAGGGTTTCCTTCAGAGCAGCTGGGAAACAGCATTTGGAGCCGGTGAAGGGTGGAAGCAGGGATGTTGTTTTCTTCTCCACCTCCCTAAATCAGACCCTTTGGTGACCACGACCTGACGGGACCTTTCCATAAGCCTCTCCTGCAGGACCCCACATTGAAATCACCCTTGCTAAGCCAGGGTTGGAACTGGGGTCTTGCAGAAACGGGCCCTTGGCAAGCCCAGCTTTTAGCTCAGCTCAGGGAAGTGCTCCAACAGATCTGCAGCTCACACACGCTTCTAACACTGTCACGCCTTTTGTGAGAGCTCCCTGAGCAGCTGCCTGGCCTGACAGGTGTGGTGGCACCATGGAAAGCACTGGCTGAACGCTCTAGGCAGAGAGGGGTGTGTAAATACAGAGTCAGCAGCAGGTCAGCCTCTACCAGGGGAACACTTGGCTTATACAGAAAACAGGATTACAGGATTTCACTTATTTTCTTCTTTGTACTGTGGCAGCCACAACAAGTCCTGGTTATAGACCAAGGCTCATGTGTGATGGGAGAATGGGGAAGAAGGGAAGAAATCCAGGGACATACAGCTTGAAAAGCAAAGTCTTCTAAAATTAAAAAAGTCTCTCTCAAAGTTGGCAACATTTATGAAATGAAATTTATTCTGGATCATCTTGGACTCCTGATCGCCTTGTCCTAATTTTCCTGTAAGTGCACAGTGCCCAGTGTGACAGAGCTGTCGTTCCTGCCGTGCTGTGGAGGTGCCTCTGCAGGGTAAGCAGGGACACGGCAGCCAGGTTTGTGTTTGGGAACAGCTCTGGGCCTGCAGCTCGGGACAGCTGAGTCTGCCGAAGCAGGGCTGGGGGTGCAGGTGACAGAAACTGGGTGTCGTGGGGATACTGAGGCTTTATCCTGCCAGGGCACAGAGAATGGAGCAGAGCAGATCTCCAGCAGTGCCATGGCCTGCCCCCATGAAACACCTCATCTACATTGCTGATGGGACTGATGATCAGCAACAATAAAGCCCCAACCTCCCCTCGACCCTCCTAATATCGCTGCCTGGCCACAGAGTGAAGACAGAGCTGCTTTCAAGTCTAAGTGAACATTTTCTTCCTTGCTTTTAAAGTCCTCTTCTCTTTATAAAAATCACAGCTGTCTGCTAAATCTCTGTGGATGTAGCAATATTTGTAACCACTTCATTTTTACTTTGGGGCCTCTGATGGAACAAAGTCCCCAGCACACAGTGCAGGACACGGTGCTCCAGCTGATCCCAGGGACTGCATTAGGAGCAGCAGGTGGTTATGAATTAGGAAACTTCCCTGCAGCTCTGGAGAGCTTTTGCCACTGACCCATAAGCAGTAAATTCATGAGTAACTGTTCTCACCAGTCCTCTCTCTGTTTCCCCTCTCCTCCTTGCAGGCAGTGTTGATAAATCAGTCACCAGATGCGATATCAGAAAACTTTTATACAAGTTTTTAATAAAAAAATTAAACAAAAATATATATCAGGCATTTTATGCAATGCATACATTCTTTATATCTGCAGGTACAGATAAATAACAGAAGGCAAAACCAAATATTTTGCTTATCTTTGGCCATTAACCAATAATCACCCCCAAAGAGATACTACAGGGTTAAAGGATAATAGACCGAGTCTGTAAACCTCTCATTACAGACACAGTATCAGGCAATAATACAGTAGTCAGATTTTCAGAAATATAAGGAAATAGTTCTTTAACACTGCCCAATACTGAAATGTCACCTGGTTTGCTGCTCTGGAGCACAAGGCCTTCAGCTGACACAGGCACAGTCCTGGGTTACATTAGATCCTCTCCAGCCCTTACTGAGCTCCTTCCCTTTGCCACTCTGTCCTAGTTACGGGGCCTGGGACCAATAACCAACTGTGACAACCCCCTCCAGACCCACCTGAGGGGCCATCTCTGCTGAGGGGCCACGCTGGACTGGCACAACAAGCACCCGCAGCACCCAGACCATCAGAGTCCAAAAATATCCCATGGCTCACACAGTTAATCACCCACTGTGAGAGCCTGGGGGAGGTGCTGGGCATTCCCACCTGAACATACAGCCTTTGGGCTCTGGGACTTCTGGCACCTCCTCCAGAGGAGGAGCAGAACTCCAACAGGACTGCCACTGCCACTCTCAGCAGGACTGGCAGCGTTACCCCAACAGGACTGTGACCATCGTCTGGACCAAGAGGTTTCCTTCCTTTTACTCTGCATCCTTGGGGGCCAGGTGGAATCAGCACAGGGGGTGACAAACACTGTACACATCTGTCCTTGTGGGTTTAAACCAGTTTTTCTCAGTCTCATTGTATTTATTGTAATCTTTTTAGTAAATTGTAACTCTGACTTGTAATCTCTCTTGAGCTGGGTTCATTTCTCCTGCCAGTTTACTCTTAAACCAGCACACACAAACTGCTCTACAAAGCCAAGCTGTACCTCCTCACAAAGAAACTAGCACAAAGTCTGACCTGGGCTCAGTTTCCTGACCCCAACCAATATACAGAAGGAAGCTTAACTGCTCTGTAAGTCAATAATTTTCCTACCTCAATGTCCCAGAATAACAGTTTTCCTTCCACTTACAGCATAGATGCACCATGGCTCTACCAAAGCAATATAAACATGAGACACAGGAAACATCAGGGAAGCAACTTTTAAAGGTACAATGATAACATGTAGCAGCTTATGTCTATATATGTACATGTTTTCACAGTTACATCTTAGAAAATTGAGAACACCAGGAATACTTCTACTGTGTTTTCTATAAATAGTAAAAAAATTACCTGTCAGGCATTTTGATAAAATAGTATTTAGGTTATCACTTTAAATAGCTCTTGAATACCTGTAGAGTTTTAAGCTTAAAGGCTGTACAGTTTGAGGATCCTGTGAAGTGTTTGTAGCCAGTTTCAGCAGCTGGGCCACCTGCCAGCTGGAATTGGTTTTTTTTCTTCTTCTCCAAAAAATCAGATCTGGTAGCAAAGGAACTCCACCACCTTGGCTGGGATGGGCAGGTTCCTGACGTGGCCGGTGGGCATCACCCTGCGGATGGCCAGGCGGCACAGGTGCTGCAGGCTGGCCACCTGCCGGGGGGTGGCCCAGAAGTGCACGCTGCCGTCCTGGGTCCTGCACAAACACAGCACAAACACCGTCAGGCCACGGCCTGAGCTCCCCCAGCACCGCCTCTCTCCTGCATTTCTAGGCAGGGGACTTGCTGTCAGCCCACTCCAGCTGTCCCTGTCTCATTGACACCAAATGCCAGCTCTTAGTTTAAGCTACAGCAGCACAATAAGCAACCTGTCTATGCAACAGGCCTGTGCAGATCTCCCAGCAGTTCTTGCCCCTGGCTATCTGATGGCTTCTTCCAACCCACATGCTTTGGGTCTCTCTCATATTTATTTTCAAAGATAAGGCATGAGTTTATCAGCTTATTGATTTTACTGCTATTCCAGGCATGTTTAAACAAATAGTATCAGTCAGAGGCACCAAGCTGCAAGTCACAACTGAGGATTCTTAGAACACTTAGCCACTGTTTTCAACCTCCATGCTATCTTAGTATTTTAGAAAGGAAACCAAAGTCTATACTTGCCCTGCAGCGAGAACACTGCCATCAGTAGAGAAAGTACAGCAGAGCCCGTTGTTCAGAGGTGCAACTTGTACAGGGTATTCTTCATCAATTCTCCAGAACCTCACCATTCTGAGAGGGAAGGACAACGTAGGAAGTTACTGGAGTAGGTATTTAATTCTGTTGGATATTGTCTCTGATGCTGCACAGGAAACTAGTCTGAAGCACAGCTCAGGGAATTTTTATGAATATTTTCATAGGCATACACGGTGTTTCAGATCTGGCCTGAAATGCTCTGATTTCTTCTTTCCTGATAAATACCTTGCTCTGTACTTTTTCAACTGAGAAAAAGATTGCCTTCAATAACAGAAAGCAATATCTGAACTAAATTTAGATTAATAGATTTAGATAACCTCTCAGGTGTCACATGTGCAAGGAACTGCCAACAATCCTTATCTTAATTAAAAAAATAAACCCTCCTATAGATAGCTGAACACCCTTGCTGTCATCTTGAGAAAGCAGTTCACATTCTTAAAATACAGTTCTTCAGGACACCACTTGTGATGTTTGCAAAGTTGAATCCAAATCACAGAACACTCTTCCCTTTGCTTTGGAATTTACTTCTGTCCACAAGACTGGTCTGCATTAACAACTCCATTTACAATCGCTCTCAGTTGTTTTCAGCTGTTACACACTGAAGTTGTTCAGATCATCTGCTCTGTACACAGCTAATGCCTTCTGCATTCAGAATTGGTATTGCCGTGTACCAGACCACGCGTCTGCTTTTACCAAGAGCATCAGAAGCCATTTCTCAGTTAAAAAGGCCAGCCCTGACAGTACTGGGAGTTTGGAGCCCGAGAGTCTCCCCGAGCCCTCGTGACACTCACTTGTCGTCGGCCAGGCTGGCCACGTGCAGCCCGTCGTGGCTGAAGGACACGGCTCGCACCCAGCGGTCGTTGGCGCCGCCGGCGAATATCGGCGTGGGAGCGGGGAACAGGTGCCTGGGGACAGGGACACACAGCTGACAGCAGCTCTGGGGACTGGGCAAGGTCCCCTCGGCCACCACGGCAAAGCTGAGGAACTCAAATGGATAGAACGTTTAGTGCTGAACTGTTGGATTCGGGAGTGGAGACTGAACCCTGTCTTTCACAGCACTCAGCACTTCAGCTTTGTTGAAGATGCCTGAATTAGTACCCGTGACAGTATCAGTGCTGTAAATTCCCTCTCAGATGGAAGAACAACCTCCAGTCTCTGCCACGTCAGGGTCTCCATCAGCCACTGCTCTTTCCTAAGTCCAATCTCCAGTTACATACAGAAACCCACTGATGTTCATCTGCACTCTGTGAGAGTTTCCAGATTTGACTGCTTTACTTACCCAAATTCCATAAGAATAACTCCAATATGTGGATCCCAGACACAGACTCGAGTATCATAGGATGCAGTAGCCAGTAATGCTCCATCAGGAGAGAAATCACAAGCTACAACATCATTGTGATGTCCTTCAAGTTTCCGTAACATGGAGTATTTATCCATATCCCAGAGGAAAACCTGCAATTAAACAAGCTGATGTTATAGCTCTGTTCAGAGAGGCGGTGCAGCATTTAATTTGTTTTTAAGTATAACTAATCTTACTTAGGATTATATTAAAATCAGGTATTATGAATTACTACAATTAAGAAATATGCTCAGTGTCATACTCAGATTAAAATCAAGGTGTTTTTTTTAAATAATTAAAGCAGACATGCAAGTTCTAACTCAAGTTTGTTAAATGTTATTATCAAAATAAGCCAAAATATAAGATAAAGGCAACACAATTTAACCATGTAGCTTACTGAAATTCATGTATTACAAAACTATTTTATTAAAATATGCAGAAATAAATAGGGTTAAACTCTACAGTCCCCTCTTTTCAGTAACTACCAAAATTTTAAGAAATATACAGACAGAAAATGTAAGGTTAACATATTGTTACTCCAGTGGCATCCCTTTAAGATCACTTGTTTACAATTGCTTGGATCACCAACGTCAGCCTAGGAAGAGAAACAGATACTGCAAGCAAAAAGAATTTTCACAGCCAAAAGTTATGTCTTTGGCAAAACAACAGGGAAGTCTAACCACATTATTAGAAAGAATTTAAGCATTTTAAATCAACAGTAACAAACAACATTAATATTACAATTTACCCAGCTAATTGCACAGTGTATTATAAGAACTGATAAAATATTACAATATTCTGGGATTTTACATGCAGTTGTACATTATATATAATCAGAATAGAGACTGTGCAGAATTACTTAATAGGAACTATCCACGTACTGCGGCCTGATTTTATAGGAATGTCTTTAACAAAAGCTGTTACGTCCCTCAAAGAGCTCATTTCAGAGACCTTGATTCCCCCCCTCCCCCAAAGAGTTTTACTGCACAGATTAAATTCTGACATCTTGGATAAATTTATGTTTGACCAAAGCAAACACAGCCTTAGTGCCTCCCACACTTCCTAAAACTGAACCATTTTACAATCAGTCATAAACGTGTTGACCAATTTTTCCGAGGAGCCCCCAACATTCCATAACATGGGAACTAAGTTTGAGGAGTCAGTGTGTTTCACTGCTGTGAAAATTATTAAAAAAAAAAAAAAGGAAAAAAAAGAGAAAAAAAAAAAGGGGGAAAAAAAAAAAAAAAAAACAAAAAGAAAAGCAAGCAAGCAAGCAGACAGTGGACATGGACCAGCACCTGCGTACGTACAGGACCCCTTGCAGCCGAGGGCAAGGTTACTTCGTCCTACGGTACAGCGCGCCCGGGCTGGCGGCCAGACATGCCCCTCTCTGCCCCGCTAACACCACTGTGCTCCAGTGGGGCCAGCTTAACTCAATCACACCAATATTGCTGCCACCACCTGTGACAGGGAAAGCAAGAAGCTTATGGAAAACACACAGCCTACAGACAGCAATGAACACCCCCCCTCTGCTCCAGCTACAGAGCCAAACCCCACACCTCAGCTGTTCTCCAGAGCTGCACTGGGAACTCAAGGGATGGAACACATCTGAGCACTCATCTGGACAAGTGGTGACTGCACTGGGCTTGTCACTCCATTACACTGCCTGCAGAGCCCCTGGAACCAGGCTGAATCCCCCTTTCTGGTTTGCCCTAATTCTTGAGTGCCAGGAGTAGCTCGTGGCATACCCTGACTGCCTTCAGTTCTCTGGCCTTAGGATGGGATGGAAACAAAACCAGTGTGCTGCTCCTCCTGCTAACTCTTGTGCCACTGGGATGGGAAAACGGGGAAACGTTTTTGTTCAGCAGGAGATACCCTGACTGGCTCAGACTTTGAAAAGTCCTCATTGAGCAGGAAATAGAAAGGATAAAATCAAATCAAAATAGTTTTATGCATTAATCTAAGGATCTTTTAACACTGGCAGCTTTAGTTGCCTTTGGTCTATGCCATAACCCCATGCAGATGTGCAGGCCTATTTCTCAAGGAACACTTACAGCCTCTTCAAACTAAAAGCAGTGCAAGTTTCATTCACAAATCAGGGTCTCAATGCACCATTTGCCAGTCTAATTTCATGCACTTTTACATCATCATCAAACATTAGAAGTTCATGACACCGAGCACAAGCTTAATGTTACTTAGATTTAAAATGATTATGCACACAATTCAAATTTAAGGAACAAGAAACTCTGACACATACTGCCTTACTAGCTCCAACAGAACAGAGGATGGAGGAGTCTGGTGAGAATGCACAGCCATACACCCAGTTCTGATGGCCTCTCAACACCTTCATCATATTTCCTAAAAAGAAAGACACTGCTGTAAGAGTTGGTTTGATATTACAAAATTCACGTTGAAAAGCTCTTCCAAATTAGTTATTCCTATGTAAAATTTTGTACTACTTTTCCAAACATCTTGCAAAATCATTGAACACAGAAATAAAAATCCTGTGATGCAGCTTCTAAATCCCATGTCCCTGTTCAGAGAGTCACTCCACGCACTCTTAGCCCAGTCCCTGATTCTCCCTTCAGGGTACACACAGATAAAGAATTCCAAGAGAGTGTACAGGGGGTGACTAACAGAGCTGCACTCATTATTTAAGCAATCCTGACCAAACTGAGTTCATAGCGATAAAAGAGGCAAGGACACAGCTATTTCTCCCAGGTTTTAGAGCAGATAAACTCTGAGCACGAACCGTCATCTTTCAGGTCCCACACCCGCAGGGTTTTGTCTCTGGATGCAGACACTAAAATCAGGCTGCCATCAGGGGCAAAGGTTAAATCTCTGACAACTTCCGTGTGGTCCATCAGGTTCAGGAGGAGTTTTCCTGTTACATGAGAACACCACAGTTTAACATGATGGACTGTACTTTTACTCAGATCAAATGCCTTATGGATACAAACACTGAATACAAAATTACAGCACATAAAGATAATTTTCATTGCAGAAATGCCCCCGGTGAGCAGCACGTGAATCCCTTCACTCTCCTGGATATAGAGGCAACTCCCTAGAAAGCCAGAAAATCTGTCCACTAGAACCTCAGGAAGAAGGCAACACTTGGCTCTTGACAGACATTCCTGTTCTAAGCTTCAATTTACAAGGTAATGGCAAACTACTCAGTAGTCATTAGCTTTTTTAAAGCTGTGCTGCCAGTGAAACTGAGTCCCTACACTGAGATGCAGTCTTTTTGAGTTGAACAATTATTAACTTTTGGGAAAAGTAAAAGGTCCTCATCACCAAAAAGCAGCAACTTCATGCTTTGAAAGTTTCCTTTGGAAGCATGGTAAAACTAGGAAGATCTTAGAGTAACCAACCAATGTATGTATGCACACATTTAACCATCCTGCATCTTCCACCACGCCCATCTCAAAGCATGACCCGCATCTCTTGTTCCTCTGGCAGGTTTTGATTACTTTTGGTTGCAGGAACTCATTCTTTTTTTAGATTATTTAACTTGTACTCAAGTTTCAGGTCCCAAGTACAGTTCTGTCACCAGTTCCTTCTGCGGATTGATGGCGTCACCACGGCACGAAGCGTGCGCTGGCGCGTCAGTGTGACGAGGAGCGCCCTCAAAACGCTCTCGGGGACACGGTGGGACTGTCTGGGTGTTCTGTGCCCGGCCAGGAGCTGCACTCCACGATCCCTGCGGGTCCCTGCCAGCTCACACACCCACCTGTGTAGACATCCCAGATCTTGATGCGGCCGTTGTTGAGGCCGGTGGCCAGGAGCAGCTGGTCCTGCCCGAATTTGAAGCGGTGCCACTCGATGTTGATGCAGCGGCTCCGCTTCTCCGGCACCGAGGAGCCGAAGGCCAGGCTCCACACGATGTCCCCGCAGTCGATGACGTGCTCGCAGGGCTTGTTCTTCTGCCCGCCCTCACTGTTCTGCCTCGGGAGCCTTGTGCCGACAGGGTTTGCACCATTCTTTGTGCTGTGCAGCAGACTGCAAAACACACAGAAAATACAAAAATAGAGCCTAAGTTACCCTGGAAAGCAAAACTTTCTTAAAGATGTAATGAAATCTCTGAGCTGTCGTAATGTAGAGACATCTCTGAGACCCATAATGGGGCGCTTTTACTTTAAAATTATAAATGCAGGGTTTTTAACTGTGAAAAATTACCAGCACCTGGAAACCTTCCTACATGATATAATACTAATATTTTGTACTCATTTTTATCTCTGTAGAGAGCAAGATATTAACTTAACCCACTATGAAAGCGAACAGTTTTAAAGCAGTTATAGAAAAGTGAGTCACAAAAATTTCTAAGACTTTCTGCTAAATGAGCAAGTTCCCTGCAATTCCCTTATTTGTGTTGAACCCTGGAAAGAGTTACTGAGGTCAGGACACGGAAAATATTAACCACCCCACCAAGGCAGGGGGAAGAGGGTCAGGAAAATGTAACCAGCTACACAACTGTAGGGGTTGGTTACCAACTTCACTAAAATGCAACCTTCAAGTGCCAATAAAATGTGTTTTGGAACTTCACCCGCATTATAACATGGATGATAAGGAAAAAGGTCTGCCTTTAAGTAAATTCCTAAAAGGTAAAGCCAAAGAGCTTTGTGATGGGAAATTTAAAGGGCCAGATCTGCCCAGGTCTCTAACTTCCCTTTTCATTCAAACTTCCTCTTACTTTAGGGCATCTGAAACTACTAATAAATCCCTCCTCCAGAGACTTGGTGAGGCTGCAACAGTTGATGCTCTCGCTGGCCACAGAGGAAGAGATGAAACAACAGCTGTTACTTTAAGGAAATAGTTTTTCCCCAAGGTGCCAAAGCCCAAAAAGCCACTATATGCATTTTAATCCATTTAAACCTATCTCCTGTTTTCCAGGTGCATTAGAAGCCACAGAGGTTTGCCTTACAAGTTACTGAGGCACTGTGCCCAGGGGACCAGCTTCACTATGCGGTGTCCCTGCGACCACGCCAGGTACGAGCCATCGGGAGCGAACGCCACTGTCCAGTTCTCCCGCCCACACTTCTTGTCGAAGGGAGCCGTGGGGGCCAGGAGCTCTCCTACCGTGCGGGACCGTGCTGGGGGAACAAAGGGGAAACGCAGGTGAGAGAAAGGCAGCGTGTCACAGAGGGAACCAGGCAGTGCCTCGGCCCGCTCTGTTTCACGCCATTTAAAGTCATCGAGAGCGGGGTCTCATGTCAGTGAGTAACCGATCCCAGGGCTGCGCCGGGGCTGCCAAAGCCATCGAGTCACTGAGGAGAAACACGGAGCGCTGGACTCCTGCTGGTGCTGCGGGTGATGCCTCACCCCGGGATCATCGGCACCGCACCCCGGGATCATCGGTACCGCACCCCGGGATCATCGGTACCGCACCCCGGGATCATCGGCACCGCACCCCGGGATCATCGGTACCGCAGCCCGGGATCATCGGTACCGCACCCCGGGATCATCGGCACCGCACCCCGGGATCATCGGCACCGCACCCCGGGACCATCGGTACCGCACCCCGGGACCATCGGTACCGCACCCCGGGATCATCGGCACCGCAGCCCGGGATCATCGGTACCGCAGCCCGGGATCATCGGTACCGCACCCCGGGATCGGCCCCGCGCGCTCCCACGGCCGGGAAGGGCTCCATGTGCGGGATCCCGCCCGTCCCCGGCGGGCAGCGCAGAGTGAGCCGAGCCCGGGCCGCGCTGCCCCCGCACCCCCCGCTCACCGATGAGCTTCTCGTTGACACTCGGGGGAAAGCTGGCCATGGACGGGCGGCCTGCGGGGCGGCGGCGCTGCGAGCGGGACCGGCGGGCTCGGCGGCGAAGATGGCGGCGGGGAGGCGGCGGGGCGGGGCGGGGGCCGGGCCGGGCTCGCTCCGCCCGGGGCCGGAGCATCTGCCCGCCCGCCCCGGCCCTGCTAGCACCGGCCCTGCCCGCACCCGACCCTGCCCGCACCGGCACTGCTAGCACCGGCCCTGCCCGCACCCGGCCCTGCCCGCACCGGCCCTGCCCGCACCCGACCCTGCCCGCACCGGCACTGCCCGCACCCGGCCCTGCCCTGCGGGTCTGTGCCCGGGCCGCTGTCCCGACCCCTTCCCGCTGTGACACCCCGCAGCACCCCCGGGCCGTGCCGCCCTCACCCCCGTCCCTCCTGCCTGCGGTAGCGGCAGCCGCAGGCACAGCCCCAGCCCCGCCCGCGCCAACACACGAGTCATATCTGAACGACACAAGGGACTAAATGTGCAGTGAGCTGGCTCCCCCAAAACGTGGAGGTTCAGAGTACAGTTAGGAACCGCGGTGAACCAACCCCCACCCCCGCACTGCAATCAAAGTGGGATGTGCTGATGGGGTTGTGTTCAGAGGCTACTGAGTCCTCAAATGGGGTAAGAATTGTTCTTCTATTGCCTAAATGCCAGACCAGCAGCAGTGAATGTTCCTACCACAGCGAGTCAGAGATTGTCTACACTATCTTTTAAGGCAGGCTGTGACGGCCTTGATGTGTGTTTGACCATGGGACTGCAGAGTGACACGTAAACCAGAAAATATGCAAACACTTATGTGACTGCACTGTGGAATGTGTGTAGGACAGCCATGTGAGCACTCGATTTCATCTGCCCCAACCAGGGGCTGGCGGAATCTCAGGACTTTCCTACCCTTTGATGTTTCTTTATAGTTCAGCATCTACATCCAGCAAGAGCTGGTTTATGATAAAATTTTGAATTTGCTGTTAATGTTGTCCCCAAACAACTTGGAGAAGGAGACCCTGCGGCCAGCTTGGTCTCTGAGTGATTCGTATTAACATCTTTGTCCTCTGCTTTCTCGCTCCTTTTCTTTCTCCTTTTGCATATCTGAGTTCAGCCCCTCTTCTAGAAAAAGTGACTCTTCCTTGCTCTGTCTGGACTTCAGAGAAGCACCCAGCAGGATAATTAACTGCAGATAATGACTGGGATTTCATTCCAAAGCAGTGGCCTCGCTGGCAGATGCTGCAATAGCCATTGGGATCAGCTATTCAGCAACAGCCAGGAATTCCCCCTGGCTGAGCAAGGCCAGCAAAGCTTTTTTTAACTCAGGTAGTGACACAGTGTCAAAGAAAGGAGCAGGAAGAGGTTTTGAATATTTGTGGTGATCCAAACACTGGCACGGATTAACACTGGTTTGTATAAACTCTCTTAGCACATTGTGGCATTAATTTGGAACAGCATAACCCTGTTCCTGCTCCATCCATCCTCCTCTGCCTGCAGAGGGAAGAGCCCTGAGCAGCTCTGAGCACCTCATCTCTTGCAACAAGGCAGATTTGTAGCCAGTGGATATTGTGAAATGCTGCTTGGAGTTGCTCCCGAGCCGGGAGTGTTTGAGCCAGGCCAGCCCCGGCTGAGGGGACTCACAGAGGTTCCTCCTGAGGGTCAGAGCCTCCCACAGAGCCAGCACAAGGCTGGGTTCTGTTTGCTGACCTTGGGGCTGTTACAGCCAGAGAGCGTCAGCTTTGTAGGGGCGTTACCACCTTGCTGCCTTCCTTGCTAATTTTTTATTTTTAAGAAGAAAAGTATTTTGCAATTTATTTCTGTATGTCTCTGTTCCTGTAAGTACTGCCCCAACAGCTGGTGCTTCTTCCTCAGTGTGCATTCTGCGAGCTGATTTTCTGTTCTGCCTGGGTGGGGCGTTGCTGAGGAGTGCAGGATGGCCCGGAGCAGTGTCAGGCTGCCAGGCCCTGCAGGGCTGCCCTGCTGACTCGTTTGTGGCTTTTCCCTTAACCTCCCTCAGGGGTGCAGCTGCCGAGCCTGCTCAGGGCTGTTCAGCTGGGAAGCTCACAAACTTGGTGCCATCTTTCTCCAGCAAGGCTCTACACGCTGCAATAAGCTTTCACAAGTGAAAGGACTTTTGCTGTGGTTGTGCATTTCTTAATCAGCTTTGTTGAAATCTTTCTGACTCAGCCAGTCAGGCTTTCTAAGGCCCACAAGTTACGTTCCTCCTCCTCACAGTTGTCATTCTATAAAGCACTCCTGACAAATTAGGAACAGTCAGGGCCAGTCACACCAAGTCCAAGGTAGGTGATCTGTGCAATAGTACCTGCATCTCGGAGGTCTGACTGTCACTAAAAATTAAGCTATTTTTAGTCTACGCTGTTAATAATTCACAAGCTCCTGTTTGTTTTGAGAACATTCTTGGGATGGAGAAAGTTCAGCCTGAGTTTATGGAGGCAAAAGAAAAGGTGAAAAGAAAAACAAGAATGGAAGAAAGAAAGAGAGGGCAAAGAGGTTGAAGAGCAAAAGGAATTGCAGTGAGGAGAACAATGAGCAGCAGAGAAATTAGAGAAGTGCTGTCAGGAGCTGGACTTCAATAATCCTTGTGGGTCCCTTCCATCTTAGAATATTCTGTTATTCTGTGATCCTGAGGAGGTCCAAGTGACACCCCGCCAAGGTGAAGGGTTAGAAAACCCTGACATACAAATAAAGCAACACCCCAGGCCTGCGAGGAGCTGTTGAAGGAATGGGGCCTTGTGTGCCAGGCTTTGCCATCTCACAGGCTGGGAATGTGCTTTCAGGACCCTGAGCAGCCTCTGCCCCTCAGTGTCTCTGCCCCCCTGGCTGCAGTTACTCCTTGCCCCGAGTGCAGCTGGGATGGCACCGTTTCGGTGTTGGTTCCTCTCACTCTGGTGGTGTTTGCTGGGTGACTGAGCAGTCTTGGCCCCTGCACTGCTGAGTGTGGGACGTGTGGCCTTGGAGTCTGCAGGAGACGAGACAAACAGCTCTGGGCAGGAGGAGCAGGGGGATGAGGCCACTTTCTCAGGGTCAGCATGGAGCAGGCAGGAGCATCACTGTCTGATCTTCCCACAGGCACCTCACGCACCATGAGCTGAGGTTCCCTCCCTTGCTGGAACTCTGGGCTGTCATTTCTCTCTCCCCTTTTCCCTGTTGCTCTGTAACTTGTTCACTGTTGCTTCTTGTGAAAATTTTTAGATGGTCCTAAATTGATGTACATCTGGTTCCTAAGGGGTTAATCTGTAAAGGTCTGCTAAAAGAGTGTGCTGTGGAAAAGCTGCACAGATGGAATATCAGAGAGACTATGGAATTTTGTCTCTGCATTCTTTTGGTCTCGTTGGGATTTTATAATTTTTGGAGCATTTCTTTGGGTATAATAAATAGAGCAGATGGTTCAGTGTGGGGGGGGAATTCAGTGCTTCCATGATGAGTAGCTGCACTGGAATAAGGGAGACAGAATTTTGGGGTTATTCCTTTTAGGTTCAAACCATTCCTTCCCTGTAAGCCAGCAATGGATGCCTTGTAAGGGAGCTGCTCCCAGAAACATCTGTGCTAAATTTACCCACTCTAGAGGTACAAGAGGTCTTATCTCAGATGGCTGAGGGTCAGACTCAGAGCTTTGAGCTGTCCTGAGCAAGGGCAGTAGAGAAGGTTCCCTGCGTTCCAGAGGAAGCAGGTCAGGCTCCCTCGAGCTCACTGTACCCACACCCTGATGTGTGCCAGCAGAACCTCCAATATCCATGCAGCTATTTCACTACTTCTTTAAAACTCCTTTCTAAAACTCACTGGCTTTGTGTGTTCCTCTTCAGCCTGTGTTTCCTCTGAGCTCAGCTGCCAGGGAAGGTGCCCAGGCCCTGCCAGGGCAGTGTGATGCCCGGCTGGCATAGACCTCACCTGCGCTCTTCCCTGGAATGGGAAGGGACTTCCTTTTCCACCGGGCAGGGAAAATTGGTACTGAGCTGCTCTGTGTTCCTTTGGCTTCAATTCCCTCACTCTGCTCTGGAGTTACATCTGAACATTTACAAAGGTGCAAGAGCCCAAGTCTGTCGTTATAACCAGGGTTCAAAATGTACCAAAGGATTGTGCGAACAGAGGGAAAAACTGGCATGGAGGGTGTCACTGTAATGCCAATAAATCATCTATAAATTCAGTTTATAGGAAAGCAAGTTGAGTTTAGTAGGAACAGTGAATGAGACAGACTCCCTACATTCTGTAGAGCAGATCAATAAAATGACGTGGCACTTCGTGCCATGGCCTTGTAACTGTGGTGGTGGTGAGTGGATCAGGGGTTGGACTTGATCTCAGAGGTCCTTTCCAACCTGGCTGATTCTATGATTCTATGATCACACAGAGGAAGTTAACGTGTTTGGGAATTACAGGGCTGTGTGAGACAGCTTCTGCCTGGAAACAGCCGAGGCTGCATTCCTGCCGCAGGGAGTTGGGAAAGAGCAAGTTGTTTGTAGATAAAGAGTGTTTGCTCACGGATCAGAGATGGGCCTGAGCCCGTGTGGATCTGAGCTTGAACATTTTTGGGTGGCTTGTATACAGGCCTGTTGCTACAGGGAACACGTGCAGAGGGCTACAGAGAAGGTGGAGAATCTGAGAAATGGAGGTTCTTTGGAGGTGGAGGTTGGACAAGAAAATTTCTAAAGATCCTGCCTAGCCCCAGTTTGTTGGGCTGTAAAAATGCTGGGAATGGGTACTGAGTGAGGGGAGCCCTCAGGAACTCCCGTTCTGTGTTACACTGAGAACGTGCAGCTGTGGTTGCCCCGTGTAAGAGCGAGGCTGGTGTAAAGGAGCTTCAGCAGCACAGACCCCACTGTGCTGCTTGGCTGCCCCACGCCACAGGCTTTGTTTCTGCCTGTTCCTAAACAGCCCTGGGCACAGAGGCACCAGAGCTGTGCCTGCTGCAGTCACCTCCTGCTTCACCCTCCTCTCCCCCCGGCAGCACGTCTGGTCTGCTCAGCCGGCCGGGGTCACTCCATGAGTCTGAGAGCTCTTAAGGGGAGGCCCTGCCCTCTGCAGTAACGTAATTGCAGGTTATTTGTGAGATTCCTCCTGTGGCTTTGCTT